CAATCAGTCGGCCAGACAGTTGTCTTCCAAATTTCTTGGCAGAGATGAGTGAGTGCCTCCTGTGCTACCTCACTTTCCTGAAAGATTTCAATTTTTATTCCATCACATAACTCACAATAAAACATTAAAAAAAAAAGAAATTAGAAAATAGTTTGAATGGAATCCAAATAAAAAGATAATATCAAAGTATGTGTGACATAGCTAAAGCAGTATTTAGAGAAACAATCATAGCACTAAAATGCTTATATTCAAAAAGAAGAAAATCCTCAATTATCTAACTTTGTATTAATTAGAAGCTTGAATTAGAAGATCATATTAAATGCAAAACAAGCAAAAGAAAGACAATATAAAAATTACTCTTTATACTAGAAAAAATGACATACAAGGGAAGAGATGGAGCAACCCTCAGCTCCTTTTCATTTCAGACCTTCCTTAGTCATCAGTAAGCTGGAGATCGAGTGTTGGTAGAATGTGGATATCAAGAGGTGAACTAGTATGGCTAAGCTAGTTGTATGTGGCATATCCATCATTGTAGTAACATGCATGCATGAGTTACATAAAAGTGGTGCCCTCTCAGTGATTTCATGTGAGGAGTATAGGGGTGGGCCCCAGAGATGGAGGGAGGGAAGCAGGTGGAATGCCATCATGAACTGTCATTGTCAGGAGTCACAGGTCACTCACTGACAGCAAAGGGGAAAGGTGTGTGGCAGAGATCTTATGTGAAATTTCTATTGAAATTGGACAATTTTGAAAGGTCCATTAATAATATTTACATAGGACTCCTCCCTTGGGAAAACTGGGATCCACAGGACTCTGATTCAAGGGGTCCTGCATTCAAATATGTAAAGATCAAGCCAACCACCATCTCAGGTATAGAATAGTGACCAGCCTCACTATAGCACTCCTGAGGATACAAGAAAGGTAAATCTGGAGATCTAGGAACACCTCTGAATCCCACATCTACTTTGACAGGGAGGAGTATGGGAAGAGAAGAGTGTGGGAAGTATGGAATTAAGGAAGGAGACTCCAAGGGAGCAACAAAAGGCAGATAGCCAGACAATAATCAACGTGGGTTTGTGTCTTCATTTTATTAGCTATTTAATGATAGTTTGGTGGCTGGGACTGCCGTAGAGCTGTGACATGGAACCCTTGGCCCCAAATAGCATGAAAGATGAGGGATGGTAAGCTGTTGTTCTGGTTATGAGAGTGTCTAGAAGTCTCCCAGGGACACAGTAATGGGACAGGTGGACAAAGAAGTCTGAATTCAAGATGGTAGTTTGGGTCTGGAGGCAGAGATTTGTAGAGGTGACCAGGAATTAGTCTCTTACAGCCACACTGCAGACTCTGTCACATGTTCAGCAGTACATGAGGCTGCCACATATGAGAGGTGTGCAGATGAGGATGGGGCAGGGAGCCGAGCAGCAGCAGGGGTTTGGCACACAACAGGCTAGCACTCAGAGGTATGTAGCAGACTGCCAGGCAGGGACAAGGCACGTAGCAGGCTGGAAAACAAACAACAGGGTCGCATGAGGACTGGCAGCTATAGGGACAGCATCTGGTGGCCCCACAGGCTAGCTGGTGGGGGGTGGGGGGGCAGTCTCGCCATACACAGGCCAACACAGCAGAGTCCCACGGGGTACGGGGCAGCAGAAGGAGCAGCTAGTTGCCCATGACTTGGGTTCCTGTGACTGAGAGGTGGAGGTGAGGCATTAGGAAAGAGGGACAGACCTGGGGGAGTCCCATCATAGGGCAACCTTTCTAGTCTGGCCCATGAGCACCACGGCAATGGTTAGTTGTTGAGTTGGTGCATCATTTTACTTGCCTTCCTTGTATTTGCTACCCTTTAGGGAAGTCCCCATCAGTGTTGCTAGAATCCTCAGACTTGCCTTGGCAACAAGTTGATTTCACCCATGTTATGTGGTGGCTTGCAACTTCCTTGTTGTTCTTCAAGGTAGCATAGTATTCCATTGTGTGTACCACAGTTTATTTATTCATTATTCAGTTGATGGGCACTTAGGCTGTCTCCATCTTTTTGCTATTGTAAATAGTACTGCTATGAACATTGTTGTGCATATCTCTACTCTTGTTATGGCTCATATTTCTTGTGGGTAAATACCAAGTAGATGAATTGCTGGATCATAAGGTATTTCTATTTCCAGCCTTCTGAGGAAGTACCATATTGCTTTCCAGAGTGGTTGGATCATTTTGCAATCCCACCAACAATGTAGCAGGGTCCCAGTCTCTCTGCATCCTTGCCAGCATGTACTGTCCTCTACTTTTTTTAATCTTTGCTCTTATTGCTGGTGTAAGATGATATCTCATTGTTGTTTTGATTTGCATCTCTCTAATGGCTAGTGATGGTGAACATTTCTTCATATGTTTGTTGGCAGCACGGATCTGCTCCTTGGTGAAATATCTGTTCATGTCCTGTGCCCAGTTTTTAATTGGGTTATTTGTCTTTCTCTTGTAGAGGTGTTGTAGTTTCTTATATATTTTAGAAAT